TCAGCAACCTCAACAACAGCAGCAACCTCGACAAAAGCCACCACGACCCCAGCAACAGCAACGCGGCAGACAGCAGGCCCGCGTCTTTGTAGTTGATCAGAGAGAGGCCGACCAGCACCCAGGTATCATGTCGGGGATGATTGTTCTTAATGATGTGCCTGTTTATGCCTTATTTGACACCGGAGCGACCCATTCTTTTATATCACGCCGATGTCTCGAAGCTATAGGAGTTCATTCTCTTACTACTGTCGATCCTCTCAAGGTGAGTTTAGCCTTGGGACGAAAGATAGTGACTGATGCCAGGGCCACCGATCTCAGCCTTTCCATCGACGGCCGTATTTTGACTTCTGATGCTTATGTTATCGAGATGAGGGATTTTGACCTCATACTCGGTATGGATTGGCTAACACATTTTCACGCAGATATCTGATGTCATGACCGGGAGATTACTCTTTATCTTCCGGGAGATGATCAGATCACTTATTTTGGCTCCAGGAATCGTACTCTGCCCCATATTATTTCTATGGCGAAAGCCAGGAGGATTCTTCGACGGGGTGATTGCCAGGGTTACCTTGTGAGCCTTGTTGGAGATGAGCCAAAACCACGGTCACCTCATGACATTCCCATTGTTCGTGAGTTTGTGGACGTGTTCCCAGATCAGCTTCCCGGAGGTCCACCTAGCCGACAGGTGGAATTTTCTATCGATCTTATCCCTGGAGACGGACCCGTTTCTAAGACGTCGAATCGAATGGCACCTAAGGAATTGCAGGAATTAATGACCCAAATTCAAGAGTTGCTGAATCTCGGTTTTATTCGACCGAGCGTCTCACCTTGGGGAGCACCCATTCTCTTTGTCAAGAAGAAGGACGGATCTATGCGTATGTGTATCGACTACCGGGATCTTAACCGGTTGACGATCAAGAATAAATATCCGCTTCCCAGGATCGATGATTTATTTGATCAGTTGAGGGGTGCCTGCGTATTTTCCAAGATTGATTTGCGTTCAGGCTACCATCAGCTGAAAATCAAGGAGTCAGATATACCTAAGACAGTGTTTCGTACGAGATACGGTCACTTTGAGTTTGTGGTTATGTCTTTTGGCCTCAGTAATGCCCCGGCATTATTCATGGACTTGATGAACCGTGTATTTCATCCTTTTCTCGATCAGTTCATTATTGTATTCATTGATGATATCCTTATCTATTCCAAAAGCCAGAAGGAGCATGAAGAGAATCTGAGGGCTGTTCTTGAGACCCTTAGACATGAAAAATTATATGCAAAGTTCTCTAAATGCGAATTTTGGCTTCAACGAGTGGCTTTTCTTGGCCACATTATTACTCAAGCAGGTATTGACATCCGAGGGCTTTTCTTGGCCACATCTGAGGGCTTTTCTTGCCCATTAAGGAAAGCCATCTTGACATCCATCTGCCAGACTTCATAATTCATAAGAGTAGCTACAACCAAGAGAATCCGACTGGACTTAAGCATAGCTACTGGTGAAAAGGTCTCATCATAGTCTATACCCTCAATCTGAGTATAACCTTTCGCAACAAGCCTAGCTTTGAAGGTTTGCACCTCCCCATCCGATCCTCTCTTTCTCTTATAGATCCACTTGTATCCAATGGGTTGTTCCCCCGGGTAGTTATACAAGATCCCAGACCTGATTAGAGCCCATTTACACCATTTCAGCATTCATTGCAACATTCCATGAATCTGCATCTTTATTTTGGTGTGCCTCGTTGTAGGTCCTTGGGTCTGATTCTAGGTTCCCTGGTACTGAGCCCTTAGACTCTCCAAGACCTATCCATCGGCCGAGTAACTGAGAAACCCTCCCACTACGATGAGGTATTGTATGCACTGGTACACTCTCACTGTGTCGTGTTTTAGTATTATGTGATGTATCTACTTGCGCACTCGGTGGGGAACTATCACCTTCACCCCTTAACTCCTCTAAGACTAGTCTACTTGCGGGCTTGTCATTCATAATATAGTTTTCTTCCAAGAATCTAGCGTTCCTGCTAACGATCACCTTCTTATCCTCGGGACTATAAAATAATGCACCTTTCGTTCTCTTGGGATAGCCTACAAACACTCGTGCTTCTGAGCATTTCTCCAACTTTCCAGATTCCTACACTAAAACGTGTGCAGGACTACCCCTTACTCGAAACTGTGAGAAACTGATCTTGCGCCCTTTCCACATCTCATAAGGAGTAGTTTCAACCGACTTTGAAGGAACCATGTTCATGATATACGCTTCCAAATTCTAAACCCCAAAACGAATCTGTTAACCTTGAATAACTCATCATTCACCTAACCATTTCATAAAAGTCCTATTTCTTCGCTCTGCAACCCCGTTCTGCTGGGGCGTGCAGGGTGCAATCAATTGGGATTCAATCCCAACTTCTGATAAGTATGTCCTGAACTCTTCACAGAGATGTTAGCCACCTCGATCAGATCGAAGCAACTTGATACTTTTACCATGATGCTTCTCCAAAACTGCCCGATACTCTTTGAATTTTTCAAAGCATTCGGACTTGCGGTGCAACAGATAAATGTACCCATATCTCGAGTAATCATCAATAAAAGAGACAAAGTACTCGATACCTTCTCTAGCCTGGATCAACATAGGACCACACAGATCAGAATGAATCAATCCTAGCACTTCTTGGCTCTTATACCCCTTTGTCGAAAATGGCCTCTTGGCCGTCTTACCTACCTTATACGATTCACAAGTTGGATAGTGCTCTTCCAATTGATCCAGAAGTCCACTGGCCACTTACTTTTGAATCCTCCTAAGGTTGATGTGTCCAAGTCTAAGGTGCCATAGATATGCTTGATTCATATTGGAAGATTTTTTTCTCTGATTAGATTTAGTCGTGACATTATTCATTTCAATTTGTTGCAGTGTGGGAGAGTTTGGTTTAAGAACATACAAAATGCCAACTAATGAACCAGAACAAATGAAACACTTTCCATAACGAATAATAACCATGTCATCAAACGTAAATGAAAAACCATCCATAACAAGTTAAGAAACTGAAACACGATTCTTTCTAAAACTAGAAACATAAAGGCAATGTCTCAAAACCAAAATACTACTATCAAAAGATAAAGTAACGCCTCTCACTGCAACAACCACCACTTTCGTAGCATTGCCCATGTAGATGATGATCTCTCCCTCCCTAAGCCGTCTGGTTACCTGGAACCCCTGCAAAGAATTGCAGACATGATCAGCGTCTCCAGTATCTATACACCAAGTTCTGGTAGATACAACCGCTAACCATGTTTATACGACATTAACAATAGAGTTACCTTTCTTGAGGAGAGGGCAGTCGACCTTCAGTGTCCTGACTTTTTGCACTTGTGACATCTATCTTTCGGCTTCTTTTCCACTGCCTGAGGGGCCGGTAGCATAGTAATCGGAGCATCCTCCACCTTCGCCTTTCCTGCATACTTCTTTCTCATCCTGCCCTTGTGAAGCCTTGAAGGTCCAACCTGTCAGGCGACCAGCGCATGAGGTGCCTGATGAATAAGGTCTCCGCCGACTGAAGCTCTGCAAATAGTTCTGGAAGAGCCATATGCATCTTGTGCATGTTGTAGTTCAATCGGAACTGATCAAAGCTCTTCGCAGAGATTTGAGCATGATATCAACCTGAGTTTCCCCGTCGATAAAACCTCCCATAACCTCAAGCTCGTTGAGCAGCGCCATAACCTTGAGGGAATGCTCCCTTATGGGTGTGCCCTCGGCCATACACATGCCCATCAGAGCACTCATAGCTTCTTGCCTCGCAGCCCTTGACTGGTGTCCGAACAGATTCCTGAGATTGAAGAGTATACCTGCCGCAGTGTTCTTAGACTGATGCTGATGTTGAATAACATTTGACATAGATGCCATAATGTAACAATTCGCCATCTCATCAGCCTTTTTCCACCGCGCATACTCCTCTTTCTTCTGCTCATGAGCATCAGCCGCTGGCTGTGGTGGGCAAGCCTCAGTGATCGCAAACTTATAACCTTCAGTAGTCAACACAATGTCTAAGTTCCTCTTCCAATCAGTATAGTTAGGGCCAGTAAGTTGATTTTCTTTTAGAATGAAGATAACGGATTGAACGACATGATGAATATAGCATGAGAAACACGAAATAATTTTACAGATTAAACACGTTTTGAATTTAACTGCTAATATTGACATCCTAAAAACAATATTAACATAAATTCACCGACATCTCAAAACACGGAGAGTTAATAACTCAACATTCGCAAGGGAAAGGCTTTCAAAGGCCCGTTAATTTCTATAAGTCGAAACTAAATTCATGAAGAACGAAATTAATAGTCGGTCTCCATTTGGCCATGCAATAAATTCAAGGACCCCGATGGGAGTTATTAATAAATCACATTCTAAGTGAATCTCATTTTTCGATCCTAAGTTCATATGAATTCGATTATACGTCATCCGAGGGGAAGCCCGTATTCTTTCATAAGAATCCTTCTAATCGTCTATTTAAGAAATTTGTCCTGGTAATTACCTATTATTAATTTTAGTGATGTCACCCGAAGAGGAGCCCATACCGCAATTAATTTATTTACCGACAAATTAGAAATGGAGGCCTTAGGAATTTTACAATTAACTTTAATTTAAAATCCCTTCTCAAATTAGTATAATTTAAATGAGGATTTTAAATATTTAAATATTTATCCAAATCTAAATTAATTCTATGTAAATGCAATAATTAATTAACATGCATAAATAAATATGCAATTCCAAATTAATCTCATGCAAATACAATAATTAATTAATATGCATAAATAAATAAATAAATAATGGCACAATTCCTGTTGAAATTCTCTCGGAGGGGAGCGATTCTATTCTCTCGGAGGGGAGCATTTCACTTTGGATCTTGATTTTCCTTTCTCTTGGTGTTCATCCTGTTTGTTTTTCTTCATAGTTGCAGATTCCTTCCTTTTCTAGTTGTTTTCTTTCCATTTTCGGATTTTTTCAGCTTTTCCCCAATTTCTGTCTAGGGTTTATGGGTTCGAATTTTTGCTTCGGCCACGATGAAGATCTCTCGTCTCGCCTCAAAAATTTCTCTCTATCTAATAGAGAGAGTCTCTTAGTTGATATAGCCCAGAACGATATCAAAATCAGTGATGAAGAATGCCAAAACAGTTTGTTCGGCAAGGTTATTGGTGACCGTATAGCAAGCTGGAATGGAGTTACAAGAACTATGAGCCAAATTTGGCGCCTCAGGCAACCAATGGAAGTGAAAGAGCTGGGCACAAACTATTTTCAATTCATATTCCAGTGTAAAGAAGACAAAGACAGAGTTGCCAAGGGTATTAACTGGAGTATCGACAATCAATATCTGCTTCTCACAGAATGGAAAACAGGCCTCTCACCTTCGCACCCCATATTCCAGGAACTACCGATTTGGGTTCAGGTCTTTAATGTTCCTTTAAACTGGATTAGCTCTGAGGTGGGTCTCAAGATTGGGAAAATTTTTCCTCGAGTTAACAATGTGGTTGTGGTGGGGGCAGGTAGCCATGGAGGTAAAATTTTACGGCTGTTAGTTTCGGTTAATCTCAATGAATCTCTTCCTCGGTGTGCTAATATCAGATTGGGAGACCAAATTGTCAGTGTTAGTTTTAAATATGAAAAGTTGATCAACATGTGTCATTATTGTGGATTAGTTGGTCACCTGGACAGAAGTTGCTCTGAAAGGATTGATGCTATTAAGAATAACTCTCTGAAAGAAGGGCAGTTTGGTGAATGGATGAGAGCTCCAGATGGACCTCTATGGTCAGGTCCTGCTTTTTCTGGTTCCAAATTTACTTGCCCTGACTCTCCTAATAATCCAACTTCACAGTCGCCTTTGAAAACTACAACCAGTCAAATGGAGGAAAACAATCAACTTCTAGTCATTTCTATGGAATCATCTCAACAAGAACAGCCAGAAGTTCAAGGCCCCATACACCCTTCTCCAGTCTCTAAGGAGCCTACGGTGTCATCATCTCCAAACTCTCTTGAGTTAATTTCTTCAGAGAAGGCTGCTTCTACTGTCCATCATATTGTTGTCAAAGATAAAAGTTCTCTCATGGAAGTGGAAGACTCTCAAGCCATTATCTCAGTTGTGCCTCTTTCTTCTGATCTGAAGATGGATGCCACTCCTATGCTTCATCTCAAAACCTGGAAAAGATCTAACACTGCAGATGGTAGACTTATAAGGCAGAACCCCTCTCATATCACCAGCTTGCAATCCCTTCTATCTGGAAAAAGATCCCAACCAGAAGCATCATCCACAACCTCTGTCCCTTCTCAAAGCTCAAACCCTGATGATCCTGTTCTGGAGCAGCATCTCAATAAGAAAAAGAAGTCTCTTTCAAAGGTGGGGGTGGCCAGCCTCGATTGGCACCCGAGTGATCAATGTTAGCTGCGGTGTGGAACTGTAGAGGATTGGGTGGGCCCTCTACAGTTTCCCAAATCAAAGAGACTTTCAGATCTCATCACCCAGCTTTCTTTTTTCTTTCTGAAACTAAAAAATCTTCTTCCTTTGTCCATTCTGTGGTCAGTAAATTGGGTTTCAACAACAGATTCACTTTAGTTAATCCTCAAGGGATTAGTGGGGGTCTTCTTCTGCTGTGGAGTTCTGACATTTCTATCCTTAATGTTTCTTGTCAAGACTTTTTTATTGCTGTGGAATTTTCCTTCAAAAATTCTGTTTCTAGCTGGGGAGTCTTTACTTATCTAAGCCCTTACTCCACAATCAGAACTGAGCAGTGGAAATTTCTGGAGTCTGAAAAATCAAATTGGGGGAACAGATGGTTTGCAATTGGAGACTGGAATGACATATGTCTAAGTTCTGATAAACTGGGGGGCATTCCAAGGTCTCCTAGAAGCATGGCTGGTTTCAATGATTTCATTAATAACATGGCAATGGAAGAGATTAGAATGGTTGGTAACAAGTTTACATGGTGCAATCTCAGACTGTCTGAAGGTCTGATTCAAGAGAAACTGGATAGAGGGTTCTGTTCCCTTGACTGGATGCAATCTTTTCCTAATGCTACAATTACCACCATCCTGAGAAGTGCATCTGACCACTCCCTTTTGCTGCTTAACTCTGGGGCTCTCAAAGAACAAAATAGCAAAAGATTCCATTTTGACAAAAGGTGGCTCTTAAAAGAAGATATCTCTCAAGTGGTCTCTGAGGCTTGGAGCCTTCCCTGTACAGGCACTCCTTTCTTTAAGCTGAAGGAAAAGATTAAAAGCACTAGAAAAGCCCTCATTATATGGAGCTCAAAGTTCAATCAAGTCAACCAAGCTAAAATCAAGGAACTATCTGGCATCCTGGA